CAGTTAATGATTCTTTTATATGAGATTTGGGTTCTCTTTTAGAAGGTACTGAGAATTCAAGATTAAGGTAACATGATACCCTTGAAGTGCACTAGCACTCATCAGATTACTTACTAGCAGATAATAATTTATATAGATTAGTAGAAAGGTACATAAGAACAGTGCTTTTTTGTATGTGTAATGTTAAATTTCTTACATCAAAATTGTCAAATTACAGGTTCTTCATCATCATACTATAATTCCCTCCCTTCCTTCCTTCCCACATATAACAGAAGTCTTGAAGGAATTCATGTCCAAATTTGTTTCAATCCATTTTATAGTATTTCCAAAGGCCATATGATTACAAATTATCTGCAATTAATCAGGCACAAAACGTCAGTTCTTATTTTTATCTTCCGATTCATATGCAGAAGTGGGAAAAACATGGATGTGTTCTGACTGAACTATGAAATGAACTTATATTTACTCAGTGGGTAGCCATAAGGACAGGACATATTTTGGCTTCCAGAGTTCCTAAATAATTATTTTACTTGCATCTGCCTTTATATAAGAAAGATTCTCCTGAATTTGTGAATCTGAAAAATCTGGCCTAATTTTCTGAACTGTATTTCACATTGCTCATTTGACTTATTTTCTTTTTTTCTCTAGTCTATTTTGTGCCACAGATTGGGTTGCAATGTATTTTATCAATTTTAGCAATCTTTGACCATGTTCTAACAAGCAACTTGATTGAAAGAAGATTGTGCTCTAATACATTATGTAAATAAAGGAAGTCAATGAGTAGGACATGAAAATTCTTACCCAGTCCAGTAGTATTTTCTTTTAAATAATCATTTCATTTCTGTGGATTACTAGATTAAATAAAAAGTTGAATACATTTATTTTGTTACTTTTTGTATCTGCAATTGTAACACAAACGTACATATGTTTTAGCATTAACTTTTAGTCTTGGTCATTACATTGTTCTAAGGTCAAAAGTAGGCATGTGGGAATGCCACATTATATGACACTAACTGATGTGAATTCTAAAGTTAACCTGACTTTAATCAAGTAGTTCTCATATATGCTATATCTAACTACACAGTTTCATTGATCATAAAGAAAAAGAATGTTTAAAATCAACAGTAGCATCGTGTTTATTTGTGTAACTACAGATTTGTACAATGGCTCATTTCTACTACCATGGGAGTTTCAGGGGTTTCAAAAGAACATTAAGTGTGCATCTGCACAGTCTGTCAGAGTACATAGTTACATAGGAAAATGGATGTAGCTACACAATGGGAGAAAGATGCAGGAGAATCCACACATTTCTAATCCGGCTTTGGAGCATAAATTTGTGCGCTTATAATACCATACATTATCTTGGGTTTTTGTCTGATTTTGTTGTTGTGGTGGACTGGCAATTGAAAAAATGACGGGAGACGCAGAGAAGACGTCTGAGCAACTGCCAGCCCCGAGAGCCCCCGGGTAGCAGTATTTATTAAGAAAATGCAAGTACAAAATCAAAACAATGACTTCAACATTAGCTCAGCAACATTATCTAGCTAGGCCTTGGTGAAGGTGATAAATTTCCCGTGAGAAAGCAGGGCACCAAAGGTCTCATGGGAATGGAACTCCCACACAGATTCCTGTCCTCTGAGCTTTGCAGATAACAGGATCAAACTCTCATCATAAAGACACTACTGCCCTCATGAGGAGCGTTTGTGATACCCCCAGATCTTACAAAGCTGTACAAGAACTTGCAGAATATGATGGATATATTACCACAGTTGTTGGGCAATAATCGGCTCTGTTTTACTCAATGGTATAACTTCGGTATTAATGGTATAATTGGGCTTTTTTCTTCTCCATAGCAAATCACTGAGACTATCATTTTCCATTAATTCACCATGTCTCAATGTATTTCATTGAATACATAGGTGTATTTTCCTAGATTAATTGTCTGATGCAGAGACTATATGTAGCATCCAACTCACAATAGAAGCATTGTAAAAAATCTTAAAAGGTTTGCAAGATTCCAACCGTGATTAGGGACTGATAACACCTAATGTATGTGGCTGGTAAACATGGAGTCATATTAGAAGCAATCCTTCATGTAGATTTATGTTGTTAAATCTAATAAAATCACCAAAACCATAACATCAAACAATGGCTCTCCATTGAAGATTTATATCTTCAGTGTTAAGAAAGTGCCATTTTTCTTCTGTTATCTCTTTTGAATCTTGAACTTTTGATGAAGAAAATAGAAGTTTGCTGAAGATATGACAAGTTAATTTGCTTAACATCTGTCCTTTGTATTGTGAGAGGTTGATTTACATTATAACATGAACCAATTTAATCATCAGCACAGCTGGTTGAATGAGGTTTATGCATGATAAATTTCTTGCACTAATATTGCTTCTTAGTTATAAATTGTGAATATGTTATCTGATATCTGTACTGTTTGTCATTAAGCACATTGTGGAAACGTTCTGTGAAGCAGGGCTACTTAGTTTACCTGTGCATGGCAAAAAGTTTCTTCACTGCATGCACAGAAGTAAAAGTTTGCTTTATAGCATGCAGAACTGCGTACTGAGCATCTCTGCAGTTCCTTAAACCAAGCTTGTCATTTTCCAGAATTATGCTGTCTACAGAAAAGCATCAGCTTTGTTGCAGACAAGTTCTGCATCAGCCATCCCAAAGATGATTTTTTAAGAAGCAACTGGACTTTATGGTTTTTCTTTGAAGACATTTTGCTTCTCATCCAAGAAGCTTCTTTAACTCTGCCTGGATGGTGGGGAATGGAAGGATTTATACTCCTTGCAGACAGCTGGTCATTTGCATTCTTTTAGTGAGTTGTTAAGGCCGGCTAGAGGTTTATCAGTGTTGTCATGGTCACCTGACTGGTACAAATGGGTGTGGAGCCTACTTGGAACTGTTGAAAGGACTGTGTTGTAGACTGGAGATAGGTAGATGTTTTATCATTCCCCCTCTGTTGAGAGAGGGCTGTTCAGTTTTGACATAGATGGGCCTCTTTGACCCCTCTTTCAAACCAGCAGTCCTCTTTGTCCTCCTGAGCTTTTCCAATATTCCTGCATCCTTCCATTCTCCACCATCCAGTCAGAGCTGGAGAAGCTTTTTGGATGAGAAGCGAAACATCTTCAAAGAAAAACCAGAAAGTCTAATTGCCTCTTGAAAAAGCACCTTTACGACAACCATGACTGGATGACTGAGAATCTCCATAGACATCAGCTATTCCACATTCCAAACACTTCTATGATCTCAGTTTAGAAGTGCAGCATGCCAACTGTAACAGGGAAAATAAAATATGAATAATTGAAATAACTCATTTAGATTAAGAAATTCTGGCTAAATTGACCCATTTTATAAAATCTGAAAGAATAGGGACTAAATACAGTTCCTAAGAAGTCGTTCTAGTTGGAAGAATGTGCAACTATTTGGATCCAAAGCAGAAAAGGCGTTTAATCTCAGCATACATGTGTTTTATGTACCAGACAGCAACTCTCTAAAGAAATCATGACTTTTCTTAAGCTTGCATAAGAACCATGCAGTTTCAGGAAAATATTTCCTTGAGCTAAGGAAGGAACAACCAGATGCAAATATATCACTTTGTCACCACCTCTTTAATGCATCCTTAATTTAGCAGACTTTGCACTGAAATGAATAAATATAAAATGCTGAATTTTATATTCTTTCAACCTGAACTTGTCATGGTAAATATGGGTATTCTGTATATTTCCAATATAATGCAGCTACAATGTGAGATAGTCCTCATCTAATGACCAGTTTACAACTGTTGAAAAACTATTACAGCCACAAAACGGGTACTTTGCAGCCCTTTAAAGAGATTTTAAAGCAATTCATTAAAAAACTGACTTTCGATATAAGAGTTAATACTGGGGGTGCTATCATGTTCGTACTGCTTGCATCTTAAGGGATCGCTATCTCCTGTTATATATTTTTTTTGAAATCAACTTGATTAAAAACATAACTATAAATGGTTAAGACTGGTTTCAAAATTGAGAAAGAGGTAGCTAAAAGCATCAAATGTTTTGGATGTTTTATGATTCCTATAAATTCCTATAATTCTCACTACCTAAAGGATGAAATAAGAATGTTGAATCTTATAAGAAATTTTTGAAGTAGTATTGATATCACTTTCCTCTTTAGCTTGTAATAACAATTTTGTAAAGCACCTACTTTAAGATAATTTAGTTTCATGACACCTTGCATATTTCTTTTCAAATAAGAGTTAGTGAGATATTCAGTGAACTAACTGCCTGTTCTAGAATATGAGATAATTTTAATATTTGAGGCTTGGACAAGATGCTTGTAATTATCTGTGATGGTTAAAATATGCTCTACATTTGTATTCTAGCCTAGAAGGTAAGGCCAGGCTTCTGAAGGAGGATCTGACCATAATGATGCTATTTATATAATAAAGCTAACTGCATTGCTTCCATATTAGCTACTGGAATAAACACTTTGTAATTGGCATATTAAACACGGAGTAATTTCACACTGAGTTATCTAGCAGATTATTTTCCCTGTTATAAACCTGCATGGTTGCTAAGATTGCCTAGGAAGATCCTACTGTGTATGCCATAAATCGGTAGATTGTCATTCTGAAGTAATTTGCAATGTGCCTTCTGAGTCATGATATCTTTTGCAGATGTTCATTTAAGTGTATTTTGAAGACCTCGTTTTTTCACCCTGATTTTCTTTGTAGGCATGCCAACATTTTTTTGTAATGTACTTTATTTTCTCATTATTTAAAAAAATCCATATTTGATATTCTTTTATTTTAAATTACAAAATATTTAGTAATAAATAGCACATTATTGAAACAATACTAAAGTATGTTCAACTTTACATTTTAATCAAAGATATAGAACATAAAATGTTGGTTGTGTATTTAATTGCAGAGATATTTCAGTTTTAGCAAATGTTTACAAATTTTCTAATCTTTAAAAAAAAATGAAATGTTTGCTTATCCACAGATTTGAATTTTGTGAACCTGCATTTGTAGTTGGAAATTGCTTGCAGATAGCCTCAGACAGCCATCAATATGACCGGATTTATTGTGGAGCAGGTGTACAAAAAGACCACGAAAACTACATGAAAATTTTATTGAAAATTGGAGGCATTCTGGTTATGCCTATAGAAGATCAGGTGATTTAAACCTTTTTCCTTTGAATATTTATATTTCCTTTGTCACATTTAAATAACATTATTCTTAATCTTTCTATTGTCAGCTGCCCCAGTACTGTAAACAAAATATAAAATGGAAGAATGAGCACCAACAATAAAACCCATTGTCTTCTCTCTTGTCTTCAAGAAATGTTCTAATTGAACAGTTTGATCTTTCAGGGCAGTTCCACTAGCCCACCTATAGTTGATTTTTAGTGAATTTTCAAGTGTAATTTTGACAGAATTAATTCATTATACAGTATTGTGTGATCTATGAGCTCTTCTGCCAAAGAAAAAGCTTGGGAAAACAGGATTTAAATGATCTACTCTCTTAGACACTGAAATAGCCCACTCCTTTTCTTAAATGACTCTTATTTCTGCCTGTTAATATGCTAAAATACTGCAGTTTAAAAATAAATTGTTACTAATTTGTAATTTTGAATATTGTGTTTAAATTGAGATATTTTAAATCTTTTATTTGTACCTGGCTTATCAGATGAGTCCCCAAAACTTATTAGTAAGCAGATAGAGACAGTTATTGGAGAGGCAAGCATCCCTAACTGAATAATACAGCTCTACATGTCTGCACTGTCCAGTGCTGTAAACAAAAACCTTTGATGATGTAGTTGGAAACATTGCTGCCACTTTGCTTATATCCAGAAGGTTCTTTCCCCAATGTGTGTTCTAGGGTGAAGACGAGAGGAAAGATTGTAGTCACCTGGGCCGATACTTTTTCATGAGCTAATACTGTAAAGGAAAAAAAGGTGAAACTGGGGCTGCTTCAGTTAGGTTTTAAGTACTTATTCCTTGATAATAAATCATACTTTTCCACTAATAAATTTTTTTATTTAAATTGAAGAAACTGAAGAAAAATACTGACAAAAATTATACTAACATGTCCTTAATTCCATCTGTGCCTCCTGAAAGATTGTCACAAAGTTGTGATGATTATGCTAGGCATAATTACACATAGCAATATGGCTGTTACCAACTCATTGTTTATGATTTCCTCCAAATTCTGATGTAGATAGAAGCAAACTTTACCCTTTGTTTACTTTAGATTACAATTTCTTCAATTTTCTTGGCATTATAAATGATAGCTAGGACTGATTAAAGTTAGAAGTTCAAATTATTTGGAAAGTATCAAATAATATATCCCTTTTTAAATGGTGGGTAGCCTCACATGTCTAGAGAATATGGTCCTTGTGACTATAATCACAGGTGGAATTTGGCTAAAAGGTTTAACAAGTATAACCTTTCATGGTGTTAGGACATTTATTGTGGGAGTGATAATCATTGGTACTTTAACATGTTGCTCTACCCAATTATGAGTGGTATGAACATTATCCAATAGACATGATTATTCGGCTTCATAAATAAAGTTTGAAATTGGCTTGTTACAGCCAACTTTTTTTGCCGCTGTCTTTCTTTTCTTTTAAGGGAAAAAGAAGCAGAAAGAAACGAAGACATTAATGCCTTCATATTACCAAACAATTGAAGCAAAAATAAAATAAAGTCCTCTTTATTTGAAGGGGTTTTGGAGTAAATGGGATGGAGTAAAATAATCGCAGAACCTACATCCAATTCACTTTGTAAAACCCTGAAAAACAAGGATTATTGGCCAAATTTTGGATTTATAGGAAGAACTTTTAAGAAGTAAAATGTTTACTGGAACCCCACAACCCTTTATCAAAATAGGTCCCACAGGTCTTAAGATTTACCCAAGTTCACATGCATAAATTATAAGCTATAGTTTGTTTTTTTTTCAGTATATCAGAGCATGGTCATTATATGAGAAACAAATACAAATACAAGTATTAATGTGATAGCTTAAATTTGTAACATTAATTTTCAATGATTTTATATAGCTAACCCAGATCCTGAGAACTGGACAGAATACTTGGGAAAGTAAAAACATCCTTGCTGTATCATTTGCTCCACTTGTACAGCCAAGCAAAAGTGACACCAGCAAAAATGATAGCGTGGGGCTGCGTAAGTAGTATTTGTTGTGTGTTTCATTATAGTACAATTAACATAGACTAAAAGTAAACTTAAGCAGCTAAAAGTTTTTGAAAAAGAATAAATGAAAAAAATCATATCAACACTTACTTAAACTCAATAATTCTTCTATATATTGGGCCATATTCTAAGCAATAAGTAGCCCTAACTACAAAGCATTTCTGAGATCCTTAACGAGCATAAGATATATTACCAAGAATTCCCTGTTAGAAGGAAATTGGTAATAAATCTTATGAATGTGTCTTCTACTTATGCAAACAATCCATTGGAGTCAGCCCATTCAACTTAACAATTGTCTGCAATATTTTTCCCTGAAGCTGAACAACTGTATCTGACTAAGATATCATATTTATAATCCATCTTGTTACTAATTCCATTTTGTGGTTTTATTTTTAGAATCTTAATTTAAACTTAGGTTGAGTTAGCTGATTTGCTAACAAAAGTTGTTAGGGATTGCTGATATGAAAGGGTAGTGTATCATGTAAATTTAATCTGTTTCTGAGTAAAAACAACTCATGAATTCATTGTTACTGGAATTTGGTTGCTATTTTGTACTTCGATATGTGAATTAAATAAAATCTTGTTTCTTAAAACATAAATTTATTGGATGGCATATTGTGTTATAATTTACTGTACTATATTCCTGCCTATTTCTATTTGTAAAAATAATACAATTTCAGAATAAACTTCATTTATTTTATTTATGTTTTGCTTTTATTGTTTTTATAAATAACTCAACGTGGTAAACAGGCCTAATACCTTTTCTTCTCCTACTTTACCCACAACAAACAACCCTGTGAGGTAAGTTGGACAGAGAGAGAATGGCCAGCCCAAAGTTACTTAGCCAAATTTCATGCCTAAGACTTGAATAGAACGTACAATCTTCTGGCTTATTGCTGAGTTGGATAGCCAAACTATCTGTCTATTTATGTATTAAATGTATATGCTGCCCATCTCACTGTCAAGCAACTTGGCAGCTTATAACATCATAAAAAATTTAATATAAAATGTTAAAACATTAGAAACAAGAGCATTAAAAGTAAACAAAAGCTGGGTAAAATTGGAACAAATAGACTAACAGAGTGGAAGCGGGATCTTTTTAGTCTACTAATCATCTCCAGCAAGCCCCAGTGAGGCTCCAAGCTAATTTGCAGAGCCAGGTTTTCAGACTCTTATGAAAGGCCAAGAGTATAGGCGTGGATTTGGCCTCAAGGGACATGATGTTCCAGAAGGCGGAAGCCATCACAGAAAAAGTTACCCTAGCCCCCACCAGCTGAAGTTTCTTGGCTGATGGAGTCCATAGCATGCCCCTTCTGCCAGGATGGAATTAATTTATAGCAAGTAGATGAGTAAGCAAAAGTGATGATTGAAAATAAATGATAAGTATAATTTTTAAAACATTTTAAAAGTTACATATGATTTGTTGTAGTTTTCTATATATTCATTGTTCTGTCATCTGATTTTTGTTTTTGTTTGATGAAGCATGTTATTACAAACTTCTTTATATTGGACACAAGTTTTAAAAATATTTTTAAAAAACAATAAAGGAGAATATTTGTAGCTCAGGGTTGAAATAAGGGGTCCTAGGTGCTCTCTGAGCTTGCTTGTTTTCTTGCAAGACAAAACCATGTACTCCTCATATTTAAACATATTTGAAATATAGGGAAATTCCTGTTTCAAAATGTTCATGATGGTGTCCAGCTTAATAATATACAAAGAGCAAAAGAAACTTGGAAGAAATTATAAAAAAACACTGTCTTCCAAGGTTCTTTGTCAAAGTTACCAAGAAATCATGCCAGAAAAGTGATTGCTGCCTTTACATATTTTAAATATAGTTCAATATTTTTAATGATTTACTTCAAAATATTTTATAATGTAATTTAAGTACCCTGACTTGTTTATTTTAATTTTTTCTCTTTATAGCTTCCTGTGCTGTTAGGAATCTACAGGATTTGGCTCGGATCTATATTAGACGCACCCTTAGAAACTATGTAAATGATGAAATGCAAACCAAAGGTATTACACAGAAACCACCACCAAAACGTAAACGCAGAAGGTGTCGTAGACGCAGGATTAATACCTACGTGTTTGTTGGCAATCAACTCATTCCTCAACCTTTAGATAGTGAAGAAGATGAAAAGATGGAGGAAGACCACAAAGAAGATGATGAAAAAGATCAAAATGAAGTCTTGAAAACAGAGGAACCTCCACGAAATTTATTGCGGGAAAAGATTATGAATTTACCACTCCCTGAATCTCTAAAAGCCTACTTGACATACTACAGAGAAAAATAACCTTTGCTTTTAAGTAAAAATAATAATGCTTACTTGATATTTTCTTAATCCTTGAAATGTAGCATTTACTTAAGTACAGTAATCTTTCAACAAGGCTTTAGAGCTGTGATGAATCAAAACATAACTTGTCTTAACTTTGCTACAAGGACTTGGATTCAGCAGTAGTTTCCTATTTTAAATCCTATTTTGTTACCTCCCCCCCCTCCCCCCCCCGGCCAGGAAATATTGTTTTAACTTGACTAGAAATGGGTTCCATACCAGTACATAGCATTAAGAGTTTGCATGATAAATCTTTTTGTTCCTTGACAGATTTGTATTGATGAGAATTAATAGCATTTTTATATAAGTGAATAAAAGTGTATTCAGGTAACAATAAGGATGGTCTGCATTCTCTTAAGCAAGTTTTTAAACAAGCAGACATTTTTCATGTCACTGAATTGGAACATTTTATTTTACCATGGTTATATTGCAAATCATTGTTACTGTGTTGAAGTAAGTGTGTTCAAAGGATTACAGAAGTGCAATAGCAGTGGACATTGAATGAGCTAACTTTAGTGTAATATATGCATTGAAATTTAGAAATGACAGATAATTTTCTTTTATATCTCTTGCCAAAAATGTCAAGAAAAATGATTGCTTCTCTGTCTCTTTCTCTCTCTCTGAGCCTTAAAGAACATACTGACTATAGCATTTCTAAAAAATCTTTTCTTTAACACCAGCCAATGATTGATTTCTTAACTTTCCAGCATTTATGAAAAATGTAACTTATTTTTAAATTCAGTGGTACAGAAAACATCTTTCATTTATAAAAGATTGTAATTTCAGCTACTATATTTACGCCTTTATAGGATAGAAAATGTAAAAACGATCTTGTATTGCTTTTTTACATAGCAGTAATAATAGAATTCAAGGATTTGTTCAGCAATGCACTTTAACTGATTCTGTACCTTATTTATTGCAGATAAGGGAAGATGCATTTCATTTTTACACTTGATATTCATTTTCCTCTTTGCAAGCTTGGGGACACATGTTGCTTGACTATAATGTTCCATCTGCATTTTTATTGAATATTTAAAGGGGTCATTTTTAGAGCATCTTTCTACTAGCTTTAAGTGAATAAAAGAAACTTAAAAATATGCTTTAAAACTTATAATTGTTGAGGACACCTAATCTCTGGGGCCAATTAAGAGCATTCCTTATAGAGAAGATTCCTATACAGTTTATTATTGTAGATAGCATAAAGCAGATTCAGTAGATGACTGTTATATACGTGTTCTCACATTCAGAATTAATAGAAATCAAACATTTCATCTATATAATTCAAATAGTCTTTTTACTTGTCTCCATTTCATAGTATTATAAAAATTTTGAGCAGTCTGTGAAATACATAGGTTTTGTTCTTAAATAAAAAATAATGTCCTCTTCCCCCCTCTTTTTGTTTGCAATTATCAGATTAAATTCCACTGGGGGAAAAGTTCAGGGGTTATAGTGTAAAGTGGTTTTTAGAAAATTAACACTAACAAATAACATATATTACTAGAAAAGCATGCCAGTCTTATTTCACAGCAACAGAAACTGACAAATGGCAGACAAATGAAACTACTGCAGTAATTCTGAATATTCAGTAGTGGAAAGCATTGACACATCCAGTGTATTTTATTAGCTGAAATAAAGTTTAAGATATTTGGAAAAACTTATCTTCTAGTGTTGATTTTTCATACTTTCTCAATTTTCAGAGTGCAAAGGTTTTCCCAGAAATTTATACAGATTGTTTTTGAAGAATGATTTCTTGTGTTTCCTGTTGTAAACTTATTCAGATAGACAATAGAAGAGTTATAAATATTATGTAATTTTTTTTAGTTACTGAAACATTTTTTGTGTGTGTGTAAGTTCACATTTTTGGATTTGTATTTTAAAATAAATAAAATTCAGAATCAATCAAAGTTAAATCTCTGGTGATCATTCCAGTAAAAATGTCTGGCATGTTTCCTGTTTCAATTACATTGTACCTTTTGCAAAACTACCTGTCCACATTGGGAAATGTTCATTCAGAATTCTAAATGATATTAAATGATTGGAAATTACGTTACTGGGAAAATTGAAGAGCAAAGATGCTGTGTTTATTTGTATAGCAAAATTAAAATAGATTATTACTGACAACAGTTGCCAACTACTGGGACTAGGAATTTTAAGGGCCATTGGCATGGTTGTCCACTCCTTAACTAAACCAAACTCTAATTCATTTCTTATTTAACAGCTATGATTCACATAATGGCCTTACTCAACCATGTATCTTGTATAAAGCCTTTTGTTATTTTATATGTGGAGACAGGCTTCAAGTAATAGCTTGAATATTAACTTTCTGGGAACTATTCCGGAATATATATTGAAATTTTGAAATACACTATCAGATTTTTGTACACATGTAGCTTCTTGCAATCTTATACTGTATTATAGGAAGGAAAGGAGTCTGGAACCTGTATATTTCTTAAAATACAATTCTCTAAATGTCACATAATTGATAGATACAAAATATTTTTTACAAAATTATTGTGTAAAAAATTCTGTCATGCATTTCTCAGGTTTATATTGGTACATTTTTCACTATTTGGCACACGTGAAATCACGTTGCCACTATCTGGAGATATACGTGGATACATCAGATTTCATGATAAAGGATTTCACTGATAAATCATCAGATTCTACCCAACCAAGGGTTTATGGCATTGCTTGCTTTCAAATTACTTGTGCATTTCTCCTAATCAGGTTTATACTGGTTGCTTTTTTTGTTGTTATTTTGCTTATTTTCTACATTGGATTTAGTAGTAATTGTATAAATTCAATTGAGCTTCCTTATCACAATATATTTCAGCTTATTTTACTTTCAATCTGTTTCAATACATCTATATTGCTTTGTTTCCCACAATAAAGAAGTGGTTTGTAATTGTAATACTTAGAGGACTGTTGCCTTTTAATTTAATTAATTTTAATTTTAATTTATTTTAATTTAATTTTAATAATCTAATGTCCCTAATTTTCCTGGTTGTCTCCCATTCATGTACTAACAGGTTCTACCTCAGGTGGATCTCAATTTTTTTTTTAAAAAAAGTCATACGTTCTGCCATTTCTTATATTTTTAAGAGAATGATGCCCAAAAAAAGCATTTTCCTTAAAATATTGTTTAGGATAAATAGATGCAATTGTCCAAATCTTAGACATTATCTCCTTCATGTTCCCCATTTTGACCTACAGGCTTTTTGCAAAGAAACCTGTACACTGCACTAGTCATATAAATGAGGTAGTTTCATATCCAACAAGGATCTTCTAAACATATATTTAAAAGCAGTTTTCTTCCAGAGTTCTTCCAGATTTCATTTACATAAAACACTCCTCAAAGTCCTAAAATGGAAGTGAATTCTAGATTCTCTGTGCTGAGGGTAAATTAGATTAACACAGTACATATTTTCTTAAAAGAACTGACATTCCAAGTAGGTAAGCAGAAGCACCCCACTGAATAAATTCATGGTAATGCTGGTCTGTGATCATAAGGATTGATTGAGTAAATTAATGATTGCAGTTTTCTTCTGTAAACTGATTGAAAAGTAGATTTACCATTTTTAAAAATAATGTAATAATTTTATACTTCTATTGCCATCTGGGGCGGGGGAGGGGATAAAACCGACTTTTCCTGAAAGTGACCATAACTCGTTACTTATTATTACAGATGAAGATAAAATCAAACTAGTGTTTCAGCATCTGTTCTATATTTCACAGGCCTTGAATGGAAATAAGGGTATTGTTTTCAATCAAGGAATCCTAGCTTTAATTTTGATTCACTATGAAGCTGCTGAGTGGATTTAGATGCTCCTGTCTGCCTTATTGAGTAGTTCTGAGAATAAATCTTCCTAAAATTGTTTATCCTGAGTGGATTAAAAAAATGTCATTTTTTAAAAAAATAGTCTCTCTTATATATTTACTTATTGAAAGGTGTTGTGTGCATTTTAGAGCATTGGCTTTGAATATTTAGTTTATGACAACATTATTTGATGCAGATTTCAGTTTTCACTTAATCAAAGCTGGTGGTTTCATAAGCAAGATTTAATGCATTAATATAACTTTCTAAGCTGGTTCTCCAGTACTTGTAATGCAAATCAAAGATGCTCACATCCTTAACACACACACACACACACACACACACACACACACACACACACACACAAAGGGGAACTTTCAAAACCAATATTTAATTCTGCACTGATTTTATTACAAGCAGGATATAGATATAATGCTTCAATTACTATAATGCAATCAGGAATTCCTACCTAGTTTACTGTACCTGATGGGAGTGCCCCATTAACTGAATAAATAAAAATAAAAAGACTGACTATGTAATGACTAGTTTTCCAGCTAGACCAATGAAAAGTGGTTATGTTCATTCCCTTTGTTTACTATAACACAATAAGTGCCAAATGGTGAAAATGAAACAAATGGAAGGGATATACTTATTTCCCCCTTTTTTTTTGTGGTAGATGCAGAACCTTGTGACTTGATTCATTTATTTGCTTCTGCTGCTGTAGAGGGAAACTTTAAAACAAATATTGTCTGATCCAGTAAGGACAAGTTATTTCAAAGCAAAACCAATGCCTTTTATAAAGCCACAAGAGGGCAATGTTGCCTTACAGAAGAATATGGAGAAAAATAAAAACTCACTGAGTCAGGAGGAACTGTTTGCATAATTTTAAAAAACCCTGCAGATTTCAAAAGCTGAAAAAAATCATTTGTGCAAAACATATCACAACTACATAGCTAAAATCAGTACATTGCATAATGTACTGATAATCAATAAATTCATCAATAAATAAAAATGAGAGACAGCACATTCATTGCCTGACTTTGTTCATTCTGAATCAAGTTGGGCTTTCTACACTAAAAGACTTACAGTAATTTATTTCCAGATTTCTTCATTTCACAGATAAATTGCTGTGAGTATTCATGCCATACTATGGCAATGGTAATATATTCATTTCTTTGTCATGATTGATCTTTGTCTTGAAAAGGAAAAAAATCAAATTCTTCCATTTTCACAGGTCCCAAGTTTTCTTATACCCTTTTGATTTTCCTACCTTTAAACATACCTTTATTTTTTCAGCAGCGCTAGCTTCTTGATCTCTTACTGGCCCCCACTTTCCCTCTTCTCTCTTCTCTGCCTTCTGAGTCCCAGCTGATCAGCTGGGTCATCTTTTGTTGCCATGCACAGGAGAATGGAGCTGGAAAGCAGGTTAGTGGAATGGGGAGGGAATAGGGATTTTGCAGTAACCTTCCCCTGCCATGCCCACCAAGCTACACCCACCAAGCCAAACCATGCCCACCAAGCTACACCCACAGAACTGATACTAAAAAAATTTTTAATCCCACCACTGTCTCAAACACACACATGGAATTTCTCTACTCAAGAGAAATTTCACATGGTAAAAAGAAAAGGTTTGATTTTTAAAATATTATTTTTATTGAATATTTTTGGCTTAAAGAAAGGACAACCCAGCTAAAACTATGAAAGTTTTTGCACAGAAATGGAAGTTAAGGTTGACTGCTAAATGGTATAAAAGTAGGATATGATAGAATTAAAACATGCATGAAAATAAACAGAATGCTGAGACAGTAAGCTCAGGAAAAGTGACATCCTCTTTGTGATTTATGGATAAATGTGGAAGAAATGTTTGTGAAGGTTTAAGGTGATTTGTGCAATGAAGATACATTGGTATACAGACAATGCTGGATTATTGGCTAAGAACGCAAATGATTTGCAGTAAATTTAGACTGTATATTCAATATAGAAGTAGGATCTGAAAATTGAGAGTGTTGGCTATATAAATTTTCAGGTTCATATTCTAATGTTTGTGCAAATCATTTGGGTTCTCAGTCAGCAGCATTAAAAATAGAACAATTGCAAGTTACGTACACAAATGGTGAAAAACAAGAGCAAGTAAAATGTTTTCTAAAGAAAGTAGAATGTTTTCTAAAGATGGAGAAATGTGCAATGCTGGTAGTAGGTGGTTTGTTGCGAGGAGGGAATCTTACCTGAAAGAAGAAGAAGAGCTTTGTTTAAGATTGTGTTTCTCCCAGTTTCAGTACATGGAAACAAAAATTGAAAGAGGTGAGAAATGCACAGAATTTATTATTAGAGTGCTTGAGAGGCCTAGTTAAATTTCTCTAGGTGATGTTTTTTACCTTACGATACAGTTGGAGGAGGGAAAGAATGCAACGGTTGATGTGGCTATGTTCAATTACTATATATAAGCCCATCTGTAGATAAGCCAAACTCAATTTTTGAGTGGATATTAGTACTTAAAATTCTTGGCTTATCCACAAGTATATAAATACAAATCTTTACAGAATTCTGAAATCTTTAAGACCCATTATTTTTAGTTGGACATTGGCAACTGTACTTCATGAATTCCTTCAGAATTTAACTGAAGGAAGAGAGGAAACAGGAGAGGGAGATAATTAAACAACAAGCTTTATTATACAAGGACATTATAAGAACATTCATAAAAACACTTTAGCTATCTTATAACTAAAGAAGTACATTTTCCCAACTCTTTCAGAGCAATCTCTTTTATCAAACTGAACAAAATGGGTAGTAAAACATATAGAGAAATGTTTTCTAGAAATTAGTTCT